TTTCGATTTTGGAGATTGGGAACACGCCGAGCTTAGTGACCAGTTGCGGGATGAAAATTTCAATCTAGGGACTACACACCCTGAGCTTTTGCACGATCCGAAATTTACCTGCTTCTTGAGCCCAAAAGCTGCCGCAGAGGATGCTGCACATGAACGGTAAGCTGTTGCCTCATTGGTACAAGTATCCTTCGATCAAAGCTAAACTATCCCATAGAGAACACTCACAAGGGGAGTTTTGGCTGGTACGAGCATATCTCTTCAGTAGTCTTCAGCATGAATGTTTACTCTTGGCACCCACTTGTTTCTTCACTTATTTCTTCACTAACTAGTGTCTCCTCAATGCCGATGAAGAACATTTAAGCAAAATTGAAAAGGTGAATCCTGCCGCTTACACCTCCTTGCTCAACAAGTTTGACTTTGGTATCTAGCTGAATGATGTTGGGACAGACAAAGACAATGTTATTGAACACTTGGGAGGCGCGATGTTCATCGATAGCGCGATTGTCAAGGCCAAATTGGATGCTAGAGTGGCGTGCTCTCCTAAACAGCAAAGTAAGTATTGTTGTTTCCATGATCTCTCTGAGAACTTGCTCATCTACCATTCTCAGTGTTGAAGAAGAAACAGATTCAGTGGAATAAGCTTTCTGGAGCGTAGTTCTACGTATTGTATCCTGTGTACATACAGTACATACAGTAACATATGAAGTGTCATCCAGCTTTAGTGATCCGATACCTTAGCACGTGTGCAACTGATCCTTAACCGGAAACAGGCGCTCAACCAAACTGCAACGGCGACGGAGCACTGAGCAACCAATCGTCGTACCACCTCAAAACTATCTTTTCATTCGTGATTCGCGCTCAGCTCAACGATTAAACCTTCTATATGAACAACTCACCTGTTTTTGACGAAGGATACAACGATGAAGATGTCTCGAATCAGCCACTTCAAACGACGCCCAGTAAGAGCATTGACTTGCTTTCAAGGCTTAGCTCCGCGCAGGAGTGCGAAGGTAATTCACTAATTTGTTATATGCTGAATGCAAACCCTGCCTACTCAATGTTTTCTAGACTTGGCGTATCAACTTTTAGCTTCTCTGCCTAGAGCTCGTCTCGCTACCATACAAAGGAGGCTCGCACCGTTGCTGCAATTCGATGTTGTGGGAGTAAGTCGCTCTCTATCTCAACTTTCTTATTTCGTTTCTACTGCTAATTCTATCTCTCATCATAGTCCTTGCCAGCTGAAGTATCCCTCCAAATATTCTCCTATCTCCCTTTTCCAGCTTTACTAAATTCCGCCCTCGTCTGTCGACGTTGGACCATCCTCGCCAACGATCAAGCCCTCTGGAAGAATCTCTGTGATGCCCGTGGCTGGTCATGGCGACAGCCATCATTTAAATATCCTCCAGCCTTCACCCAGTCGGGATTAGGTGCATCCCCAGATGCCTGGAATGATTCAGATGACGAAGGAATGGGAGACTCGGATGAAGAAGCCGAAGAAGAAGAAGTTGCTGATACACTCATGATGAGCGAGCTTGATGCTGCTAAAGCAGAGTTAACGATGATGCATGCAGAGTTGGATTCGGGGTTTGCATCCATGTCGTTCGCGGGTGATGAGCAAGTCATCGCATCCACGTCCTCCAACGCCTTTGCGCCCGTTCCGAGTAGGAACCGGGTCAGCGTTTATCCTCCTCCTATCAATAAGGTGTATTCATCAACTAAGAAGCTCGCTACTGCGCGCCCTCGGGCAGCGGCGCGTCACTCTGCTCCTTCACTTCTCAGTTCTGTATCATCTTCATCTTCGTCAAAACCGAACTATAAACTACTACATCAAACGCAGATCAAACTTCAGAAGCGTATTCTCACCTCCTCTTATCGATTATCCGCACTCCAAACCAGAGGTGCACCCACTAACTCTCATACGAACACAATATACTGTCTTCAACTATACACATATCCCTCTTCGGGCGCCCAAGTACTATTCACTGGCTCGCGAGATAAGACTGTACGAGAGTGGAATTTATCGACAGGTCTTGTGGAGAGAGTCATCGGCGGGATTCATACGAGCTCCGTTTTGAGCATCTGCGTGAATAATGGAATACTCGCTAGTGCGGGCAGCGACCGAAAGGTCGTCGTGTGGGATCTTGAGAGGAACAAGGTTATGAAGGTCATTTCTGACCATGAAGACAGCGTGCTTTGTGTGCGGTTCGATGAGAAACGACTTGTTTCTTGTTCGAAAGGTTCGTTTTGTCTCTTTTCACCTTCAAATATCATGAACATTCACCCTCCCCTACGTCTACCTAGACCGGACTGTTAGAACGTACCTATTCCCCGATCTAGAGCCTCAATTCGTCTTAAGTGCACATCGAGCGGCTGTAAACGCCGTATCTATCTCAAAAACGCTCATCGTGTCTGGCTCTGGCGATCGTTCAATTAGATTATGGGACGCCAACACTGGGAAATCCTTGCGTACGTTCGAGAATCACCACAGCAGGGGGTAGGTATTCTTTTGCCCTGATGACGAATTTCAGCTGATTGATCTTGCAGAATCGCCTCTATTGATTTCAAGCCTCCTTATGTTCTTTCTGGTTCTTCGGATAAACATCTTCGCTTGTTCGATATTACAACCTTACAAGGCTGGTCAACTTCGCCGGATCATGACACTCTTTCTGGATCAGTCAGCCACGGCTTGGGTTCTCAGGCTGCTCCTTTTCCCTTGCCCTCCTCTTTCGTCCCAGCTTTCCTGTCTCAGACTGTCACTGCAGGCAACAGCGAATTTCAACCTACTGGATTTGGATTTGAACCTGTACAGCACAATAATGTCAACACGACGTTCGCATTTGGCCAAGAAGGCCAGGCCGTCTTGTGTCAGACGTGCGGGAACAGCGGGCTGGTCACACTCGGCGGAGGTGGACGACAGGGTCCTGGTAATGTTCATAAGAACGTTCTTCATAAGGATCTAGTGAGGAGTGTTGCGTTTGGAGATGAGTTTGTATTAAGTGGGAGCTATGATTTGAGTATCAAGGTACGATTTTTGTCAGACGTGCAGCGGATGATGATTGATATTCTTCCTTCTGAAGGTCTGGGATCGTAGAACGGGTGCCTTGGTCGCAGATCTTTCTGGTGGGCATACGGGGAGAATTTTTTGTATCGGATTTGATTGCACAAAGGTGAGTTCAGGGTCGTATACTTGTTTTCTGTCGATATACAAACTAACTCTAAGTATATCACTTAGGTCGTCTCGTGTGGCGAAGATCAAGTATGTGCTAATGGTTTCTCAATTCTATATAACGAGTGTGGCTCAACGTTCTTCCTTTCTTACAGCGTATCTGTATTTGGGACTTTGCTCATGGATTTGATACCAGTTTCATCAATTTATAATTATTTTCTTCTTTTCTTTTCCTCTTTTATTCTTCACAAGGCATCGACGCAGCAAAGCCGTTACCATGACTGGATTCTCATTCCATTTCTGACTGTATCAACACTTCCTTTTTCTGTATCGATGAGTTTCACGTCAAGTATACACCATGAACTATCGCAGTATTATGGTGCTCATGAATGAAGTGTTGACTGAACAAGTCATCAGTGGCTAGACATATGAAACAAAAGGAGCAGACCACTAAGGAGTGGGTGGCCCCGATGGTTAGTAGACGGTGTTGTGAAGTTGATGCATTGGGAGACCAGCTGAGTTTTCGATCAGCGGGGTTTTGTCATGTTTTTCTACTTACGCTTATACTGCATTTTGAATGAAGACAGAATGATGAGATCCAATTCATCCTTCAAACGAAGAATCAATGCGCCAAATAGATGGGCTGCTGAACGGACTTGGACTTGCTCTTGACCTGCATGAGCCCTACAAGAGGTTCTCACAAGAGGTTCCCAAATTCAACGTGTAGGTACAACAAGACGCCGGGTCCAGGCGGCGGAGGAGCACTGTGATCAGCTGTGATACCAGAGCTTCTCAGAGCTTCCAAGCCATCATGCTGTGGAGCTGAACTCGTTGATTGCAATTTGAATGTTTCGCGGAATGTTCGCATTCACGGCAGAGTTCTATATGGTTTAGCGAGGGTATTTAAACCTTCGTTGCCACGACACGTCTTTCGTCTTTCTTCCTTTACTTCACGCAGCCTTCACTTCACGGTACTCAAATTCCATTAGAAGGCAACTTCCTCTCCTTCGATCCCTACTACATACGTTCCCTCATTTGTCATCATGCAATTCACGCTCCTCGCCTCTGCTCTTATGGCCTTAGCTGCCTCCGCAGTCTCTGCTTCGCCCGTGTCCAACAAGGCTCGCATGATATTGGATGTCTGGGCTCCGACGATCATTTCTCCCAATGCTAGCACCGTTTGGACCGAGGGACAGCAGTACAATGTTACCTGGTAAGGATGATTATACATTCACTGCCTCGGAGTGCTCTGAATATGCCGTGTAAGGGATACTTCCAATGCTCCCGTCAATATTTCTAATGGAGCCGCTGTCGTTCTGGGTAAGGATGGGAAATTAACCAACACAAGTACGTCGACGTCCCTCTCTAACATTCGTCACTTGAACTTCACCGCTCACTCATCTCTAGCCCTCGTCAGTGGTTTCGACCTCAGACAAGGATGGGTTACCGTCACTTGCCCTTCGGACGTCATTCCGGAAGATGACTATTCTATCATCTGTATGTTAATGCTTTTGACCCCAGCTGCATGGCATGCTCACATGCTTTTTCGCAACAGTGTTCGGTGATTCCGGTGACCAGAGCGAGCAATTCACTATCACTACCTCCCTTGAGGGTGTTCTTTCTGACCTCTAAGCACGATGTCTTTGTGGCACCCTACGTTTCACATGGATAGTTTCTGCGTAGGTAACCTCAAACATCTACATACCAATATTATGCAGGGATGATAGTACTTTCATAGCACCTTTGTGTATGCATTTTGACATGGACATTCAATAATGAATATTCTAACAATCGAACAATCTGAAGCATATGAGTAAGTCCTCATGTTGTTAGGTCCTTCTTAGCTCAGTTGGTAGAGCGCGTCACTAGTAACACTCCCGGTGTGTGTAGATACATGACGAGGTCAGTCGTTCAAGTCGGCTAGAAGGAATAGCAGAAAGTTTTGTTTTCCCCCGCAATATCGATGCGAAGATGTGAAACTGAATCCCACTTCATAAACCATGGAAGATTCTGTATTTTGTGCGATTACTATGAATACGAGCGGTAGTTACACGAGCTCCAGAATTCCTTGTGATGATATTCTATGCTGCTTCATCAAAAATGACTTTTCGTCGGTATTTATTCTGATCACGGAGCCACTGCGAGTTTCTCGTGTCAGTTCTGGTCAGGTCTGGTGGGAAAGAAAGACACATACTTTCCGGTATTCATGCAGAGAGCCAATCCTTTCGCCTGCACAAATATCATATAAGTACTTGATGATTAAGCTTCGAACAGGAAGCTGACCGTAATAATCTGGCACTGGACTTGTAGGACTTTGCAGTGTCACATCCACGCGATTCTTCCCTATCCTCTCATAGAACTCCTTATCCTTCTTATCTATTAAGCTACCGTAACGTTTCGAAGAGGGAAGTTGACGCCATAAGAACGCGCCGAGGGTTGGTCCCACTAAGTAGCCAACACCCATACACGCGGTTGTGCAAATTCCGTAGAACATAAACGGATCGATGCCCTAAACGAATATTTGAATGTTCAAGTAGTTTCCTAAATGAATGTAAAAAACTCACAAAGATGGGTTTCATCGGATCCGTGTCCAAGCTTCCAAAGTATGTTGCTCCACCCAGCAGACCTAGCAGTGAGCAAGGTATGGCTGCAAACTACGTCGTCCCTTCAGCTTCAAGAGTTCATAGGCTGTTACATTATCTTACGTTTTGCCATCTTCGTTTGCTTCGTCGAATACTAAGGTACGCAGGCCATGTGAGTGGCTCAACTGTCTTTGACACTGTAGGTGGAGTGTAGGTTGGTTTTTCTGAGGATGTTGTAGACGCGCTCGAAAAGGTTGGAGGTGTAGTTTTTTGTGTAGCGGCTTTCGTTGACTTGAGTCGAATGGGTCCACCGTTTGCTAGGCTTAGTGATGATAGTCGAGAGGCCGATTGAGCTTGAACGATGACTCTAGCAGAGACAAAAGACCGTAAAGAATGGATGAACAGCGTCCGCTGCATGGCGAAACGAAAGGAGAAATATGTCACGTGGAAGCACTTTGCCGTTGTATACCTCTTCTCTAAGACGAGACCTCAACTCTGGCAACACCTTCTGTACAATGAACTTGTGTTGGCAATGCTAATCAACTTTGCCTGACGCTATCCTACCTGACTAGAGCTGATTGCTAGATGTGTGTACGACGGACAGTAACCGAAATGACGTGAAACCGTCTTACGCATTGAACTTCCTTTATATATAGGTCGCGATAAGAAGTATTAACGTTTTGCAATGCCGGCTGCTCCAGTATCTGCAACAGTGACAGACAACTCTACCCCGCTCTCTGAACTTCATTCTGGCGCAGGCACTACTGAACCATCAAACCAAACCAAACCGCAAACTAAAAAACTTGAATTAACTGACCAAACCAACCTCCTCCCAGTTAAACAAGTTGTCGTTATATTCCTTGCCCTGTCATTATGTGCTTTGGTAACATCCCTTGACTCCCTTATTGTCTCCGCTTCCCTATCTACCGTGTCGGCCGTGTTTAATGCAGGCTCCGTGTCCTCCTGGGTACCATCTGCATACCTGTTGACCTCGACTGGATTCCAACCACTGTATGGGCGATTGAGCGACATATTCGGGCGAAAGAGTACTCTGTGTTTTGCCATGACCGTTTATTTTGTCGGAAATCTCGCTGCGGGTTTCTCTAATTCCATCATTCAGCTTATCGTGTGCAGAGGAATCGCAGGAGCTGGTGGAGGAGGCATTAGCAGTATGCTACAGATCATGATCTCGGATATCGTTCCTTTGAGGGAAAGGTATGTTGTTAATCTTTTGCTATCCAAGAAGTTTGACGTTCGATTTCTTCTAGAGGAAAATATGTCGGTATATCAGCTGGTGTAATCGCATTAGGATATGCCATTGGACCTGTCATTGGGGGTGCCTTAGCTGAACAGGCTAGCTGGAGGGTGAATCGATGCAGTTTATCCCGTCATCTAATTTTCTGACTTGGCTCTTTCTTTCAGTGGTGTTTCTGGGTTACTTTACCCCTTTCCATTGTCGCTACTATCATGGCGGTCATCTTTGCCCCTTCCAAACCAATGACGGGAGGAATAGTTGAGTTAGTCATATTCCTACTTTTGCTATGCTTTATTACGACCTTGGTAATTCATAGGAAACTCAAAATTATCGATTATACTGGCATTCTGCTAACAGTCGGGGGATGTACGCTTATCATGCTTCCTCTGATATGGGTGAGCAAATTTGGCTCTGTCAGTATCTATTCTGTCTAATCATAAGATACTGGAATGAACAATTTCAGGGAGGTGTCACGTATCCATGGAATTCTGTGGTTGTGCTAGCCCCCTTATGTTGTGGTATGTTTGTGGTGGTTCTCTTCTGCCTTTGGGAATGGAAAGTAGCAAAGCTGCCGATTGTTCCGAGTAGGTCTCGATTCATTGCTCATCCTATCCAGGCTCATTTCCGGTAGTGCATATCTTCAAACACATCACTGTTGTCGGTGTCTACATATGCATGTTCGCCAAGTTCGTTCTAAAGTTAACCAACAATCATTCTCGAAACATAAACCGTTATATTGCAGTGGATTTGTTTTTTTCTCAGCGCTGTACTATCTTCCTTTGTACTTTCAAGTCGTGCTCCAATATTCTCCTACCTATTCTGGTGTGTTGTTGAACCTGCTCCGAATCCAGTTTATCACGATGATATCTCATACTTGCGTACCATCCCTTAGGAACGTTTCTCTTACCAATTGTATTGAGTCAAGTTGCTTCAAGTTTATTAGCGGTGAGGGCTTTTGTTTCATATCACCCACAATTGATAATCTTGTTAATCATGATCTTCCATTTCAAGGGATTATCTATTAGCCATACGGGTAAATATCGTACAGTGGTATATTCTGGTTTCGCCTTGTCCGCTATCGGGTCAGGATGCATCTCCATCTTCAACGCAAGCACTTCCAAGGCCGTGATGGTAGTCCTTATGCTCCTGACTGGTGCTGGAAATGGCATGGTGCGATTACTCTTTTTTTTTTGACTTCAGTAAGGATACTCTTCTCAAAAGCTTGACTGTTTCCCTCGTCAGACCATGCAAACTACCACAGTGGCTGCTCAAGCCAGTGTAGCGAGAAAGGACATGTCGGTCGTCACCGCAGTACGGAACGTGAGTTAGCCGGCTCGAACTCGGACTTGACTGATGTGTTTCGTCCATAGTTTCTTCGTATGCTTGGCGGAGCTATTTCGCTCCCTGTTGCTTCTTCGCTCTTGCAAGTAAACCTTCATGACCGGTCGAAGTCTAATGTTGAGGTTTCCACTCAGGAACAACGCAATCCGAACCTCCATGATCAACCTTGAACTTCCCGCATCCACCATTACTACTGTTATCGATAATCCATCGTTGCTAACCAATTCCTCCTCCATCTCGACCCTCGACATATCTGTTTCTCAGGCAGCAAACATACTATCTAAGGGATACACAAATGGATTTCGAGACGTCTTTCTACTGAATGCGGCAATGTCGGCGACTGCGACGCTGGTGAGCGCAGTGATGATCAAGCACAAAGAACTCTTGAGGGGAGATGAAGAGCAATTGAGGAAGGAGGCGGCGGAAGCACTGCGGAAGGCTAAAAAGACCGAGGTAGAGAAAGAACTCGGGGAAGTTGTTGAGTAGAGTGGCTGTATGACTATTGACTATACGGAACTCTGTGCCCAAAACTCTCGAGTCGGAGTTGTCATCAAAAGAAATCCTGATGAGGCCACACAGGAACGTTGAGGACATCCATGGACTCTCCTTCAATGCAGCCCATTCTCAAGCTCAAATGAACCTTGCAGTTAGGAATCGTACACGCACAATCAAACAATTTATCAAATTCGGTTGACTTACACATACGAATCCCACGCAAAACCCGAGACCGTGGTGTGGAATTCTATAAAAACCAAGCGTGACAATTCTTACTTCCGCTGGTTTTTTCTTCTTTGCTGGTCAAAGAAAACCTGTGGCGACAAGCTCTGATTTGACTTTACAGTCTAAGATATCCTCCATGCGGACTCTTCATCTCTCGCTTCTCTGCCTTCTCCTCGCTATATGTATGGCATCTGCAGGCCCCTGTCCGGTGAGTTCTCCTAATCGATGTAGCGGACAACCCTTTTTGGCAAAGATGTCCAACTCACCCAGCCTGGTTTGCAATTTTCAGTCTGTGAGCTACGATATGAAAACTCGAGACCCTGGCGTCCGACCCTATTTTGTGAAGCCCGTTTTCGTCACTTGGAGTAGCATTGAACCTCCCAGGTGGCTCCTTATTCAAGATGCTTTAAGAGCCCTTTTGCTACAAGATGCAACGAGCGCATTAGGGCTGCCTGCGGGAGCCATTATGGATTATACCTCGGAACAATCCTTTCCGGCTCATAACGGGAAGGATGTTTATAGCCCGATTGAGTTCACGGTTAACGTAGAGAGGTGCAAGGGGAAGGGGGTACTCAGAGCTTTAAGAAAGTCTGTCTGTGAAGTTCAGGCTGATCCGAAGGCATTGAGAAAGAGGGTGATAATTAAGGATGCGGGAGGAAATACAATATTCAGTAAAGGCCAGTTGGAGTGGAAGGAGAAAGGGGAGGTCACAACGGGGTTATGATTGAGCCAAAACCTTCGAAGAGTTATCGTGCAAACGAGCGAACACTATGACTAAGATTTGAGATTTCGAGCCGAGCTTTGCTTCAAAAGTGGTCGTATCTTTTGACGCTCTATCGACCTCGACTAGGCATGGAAATGGTGTCTCCAGTAAGGGCATAAGGTACGGCAATTGCCTTCCTCAGATGAAGTCCATGCTTGACCAAGAACCAGGAGCAATGAAAGTATAAGGACGATGTAACTCCTGCTCCTTAATTCGGCTCCCTTCAAGTTCAAACTCTGAACATGCCCTTCAACCCAAAGAGCTTCATT